CAGAGATTCTGCATTAATTTTTGTTTTAAATTTAAAAAAGTGCTACTGAGATACGCATGAATTTATTAAAGAAACTTTTGACAATGCAGCTTTGTCCCGTTCAAAAACTTTGTTGGTTTTTACGCTTTCAAATACAATTTCGCATTAGGTTGCGAGGAAAACAAGCTCGCTCTAAAATAAAATAATTAATATAATCTAACAAGAATTTCCATTAAAGACTTATCTTCACAGACTGGGCTATCTGTAGCACCTGTATCATCTTATAGTAACCAAAGATTTGGACAAGATCGGAAAGTTTTCAAAATTTGTTCCTGATTCTAACGGAGAAACAAAAGCAGGTCAGAATGGAAGTCTGCCAAAACATGATCGAAATGACTTGGATTGGTCCAAAGTAGAGTAAAAAATCATTATCGAGGATGAGATGGGTGTTTCATTATCCAGAAACCAAACGTTAATCCAATCCATTGAAAGAGGGGAACTGAAGCCCAAAAAGGCAAGGTTTTCAAAATACAAAGTCAAGACATTGCTAGTTAAATTTTTCGATATTAACGATTTGGTCACCATGAATTTATTCCTTTTGGACGTGCAATTAATCAAGAGTTATATTTGGGGATAATGAAACGTTTATGGGAGGCAGTGCGCCTTAAAAGTCCTGAAAGATAGAAAAACAATGACTGGATACTTCACGTCGATAATGCGCGGCCGCACACAGCCCATATTGTTTTGCAGTTCTTTAGAATCAAAGGCAACCTTGAGGAACTTCTCAAAAGATTATTTTATCTTCTGCTTCGACAATTGGGAAAAAAATTGGCACAGGTGTATTGAAGCAGGATGGGCATATTATGAAAATGATAAATTGGTCTTTAATATTATTATTTTTTAATATGGAAGAATCCTGGAAATTAATGAAAGCTCCTTGTATATTGTCTCTTATAAATTTAAGGATGACAAAGCAATTTATTTTGTTCAAAACAAATTCAGCCCTGTTTAGAAAAAGAACAGAGAGGCAATAAGAGAAATTTTCTAAATAACAAAACATTGAAAATTATATTATTTTGATTGAATAACAAACATTTCGTTATGAAGCTCCTTTCCTATGGGAGCTCTAACTCACAGCTTGCAATTTTTATTGCTATAAGGATCAGACGTCTTTCTGGCGTCTTGAAAGTTTGTCCGCGGCATTTTTGTGCGTCCTTCTACTTGCGACGTGTAAAGCGGCTTTGTCAACATAGCTTCTCATCGTCTCTAGGTTCATAGTTTTCATGGAGGGAATCTTTGCTTTTCAGACGGAGGTGGAATCCTGAAGTCAGTCGCAAAAAAATGTAGTCCACAACACCAATGGCTTAAAGATCTCGTTGATTTTCAGTTTGCAGTTTCTAATCTATCAGGTCTCTATCAAAATGTCATGTAGAAAATAACGAAAGACAAACTTCACGATGGGAATTCAATTTATTTTGTTCAAAAACAAATTCAACCATGTTTGAACTTAACAGTGGAGTACACGGCAGCGAACTAGCAAACAGGGAAGCAAAAAATGCCGCTACTTCTATCTTAACACATTTATACTACACCTTGCCTCAAAAACATACTCGTAACGGTCGCTTATGGCTGCTCTAGCGCCATGAACATAAATATATTCCCAGGATTACTCGACCAGATATATCAGGAGAATTGATCTTACTCCAAGCTGTCTCTTGAAATTTCTGCCAAAAATCCACCATCGTGTGGCAATCCCTACCATATTCAAAGGCCACTGGTATGTCCTAGCAGACCTTACACTCGGGCATCCTGAAACAAATTCAATTTTACCTTACTGTTCTGAAGAACTAATGACAGTTTATTATCTCCTCTTAAGCGCGAGCGCTGTATAGCTTTCCTATATCATCTCTTAAACAAAAGACAGAAATTTTCTAAGTAACATAATATTGAAAAAATAATAATTTACTAATTAAGTGATAAACATTTTGTTACAACACAATATTTATTACTCTCTTATTATAAGAGGGGGAATATTTCTAAATGTATATATAAATTTGAATAGTAGAGTAAAGGAAATTTACAGACATAGAACAGAAAAATGTTATAATGTTCAAAATTGTGTGATATTAATAATAAAATTGTACCATTTCTTTATCTTTAATGGTAGTTATAAATTCAATTATTTCCAATTGAATAAAATTCAGGCGACTTAGAATGGTTAAGGAGTGAGATGCCAATTGAATTTTATTTTCTAATTGTCTCCACTCCACACATTAGATGTCCCAGTATTCTATAAAATATTTTAACTCTTTTATATCCTAAAATGTCAGTAGCATTCAATGGTGGCAAAGAAGAGGTTAGGTAACAGTTTAGAAATTATGTTTTTTTAAATAAATATTAATGTAGAATATAATTTTCCTGAGAATGGGCAAGCGTTATTTTTTAACACAAACAAGATATAAAAGAGGAAGGTCTTGTGCATCCATTTTGTATCCTGAGTGATTGGCTAACTTAAAATATATTCTCGATATTTAAAGAGAGAAACTTCATTTAATTTTGATATACTTCAATTCTTGTATTCCTCAAGATCTAAATTCTAACACACACACAAGCGTTATTTATGAAACAAGAAATATTTTAGCACACAGCTAAAATACCTGTCTTGTTTGAACTATTAGAATATTATTTATTTAGTCAACCCAGACTCTTGTAGAACACAGAAGTCAGAAACTGCCCAGTTGTATGTCAGGTCTAAGTTTTTGGTTTATTTAAAATGCATGTGGAGTTATAATTCATGAGGTGGCGCTAATCAGGCTTACTTCTTGGAATATTTTCCAGGGATTCTGAGCTTAATTTCTTGATCCTAGGAAGATTTATTAGAAGGGTTTAACAAAAATTGAAAAGCATAATTTACTATTCCTATATTTGAAATGGATAGAAAATTAACTCACTAAAATTTTCTATGTAGGTAATAATTAATTTTATAATGTTACTTGAAAATGAACGTTTAATATTTACATTTAACACTGGTGTATGCCATTTTCTTTAAAAGCTTAAACGTGAATTGAAAATTTTTTTTTCGTTGAAAAAATATTTTTGCACAACCCTTTGAAAAATTTTAGAAAATTATATACACAAAAATTAGGTAAGTACCATGAAAAAAATCATTTATAAAGAAACCTTTTTCAAAAATCGTATTTGTTTTCTTCTGTCTAAAGCGGTGTATCCAAATCAATCTTTATATTTGACGTTTCTTAAAAATTGCATTATTGTGATTTCCGGTTGTTTATGAACGTTGGTTTATAATTCTTTACTTGGTTAAATTATCGCCCAAAGAAACTAGATCAAAATAAGTATGTATATTTATTATACCTAATTAATTTAATTTCTAACACTCTTGATGAATAATATTCGTTTACAAATTAGGCCTAAATTTGGTTGACTGAAAGATTTAGATTATTCTTCCGTATACCAAATATATTTACTAAGTGAACCATTTTTGCCCTCCAGACGTAAAAATAGATGAAATAACATCAATTTATTAAAAGAACTATAAACGCGAAAATTCTTAATTATATCAAAACTGACTTTCTTTATCATTGTTTTTTTGTAAACACCCATTTTAAAAAATTAACATTTTCCTTTAAACTAGATAGAACCTACATACATTTTTAAATTTTATATTTGAAAGAAACCTTATATTTTTAACTAGAATAAGCCAGAATATATACATATATAAGTAGGATATATATAAATTATTATTTTAAACTTTGAGGACGTTTCAAAGTTTTCAGAACTTGACACAAATAATATTTTTAATTGCGTGTATTTTAAAAACGAATAATATAATTTTAACATCCGATATTTAATAATTAAAACTGCCATGCTATAGATTTTACAATAAAAAACTTAAAATGTACAATATATGCTGTCATTAAATATAACGGTTTATAAACAATACATATAAACACATATAAGTTTAAAATTTTGACAACATATTTCAAACACCTATATATATTTTTAAAAAAATTAATTTTAATCATTAATTCAGAATTTTTATAAAATTTCATATATGTCTATCTAGAAACAACGTAAAAAATTTAACTTCTTATAGAATAAAAATGTTTTAACTTATGCGTTATTTAAAATATATTGTAGTTATTAAGAGTTAAAATGAATATGATTATTCGTAGTGTTTATTCTAAAACAAGAAAATAAGACCTAATTCAAATAATTTATTAGTGTGTGACGTTTCAGAAACAGCATTGTCACCATTATCAGACACAAATAAATTATTTGGATTAGGTCTTATTTTCTTGTATTATAATCCAAATTGTGCTTTATTAGGTTTATTCTAAAATTTCTCTTGCCGTTGTAAACTGCTAGATTCTGAATAATTGATGAAAGGAAGCAGTTAGAATAAGGTCACACAACAGGTGAGATACTTATTTATCAAGTGGCAACGTGCTGTATCCAGTAGGTTAGGTCCAGATAGGTTAAATTGTGGGTTACTTATTTCACCACTTGTACCACAACTAATCCTAAATATGTGGGGTGTCGATTTATTAGTCCAGTGATGGCACAGAAGTATTTCAAAGTTAGTGTTTTATTGGCTATATTTATAGAGAAAGACAATACCCTAAAATCCTTTTATTTTATACCCTAGAATGTCTATTGGGTTCTCATTGACTTCCGCTGATCTGCCACGCCATGGTGGTCATCTCCTATTTCATGGCCCCGCTTGTATGTTTGCCGTGGTCTGTCATCCCAGCAGGCTGGAAGGAAATCTCTTGGTCCCCACAGATACATGTAGTCTCAGTGACAATGTATAATGACATACACACATAAAAACCTTAGGTTTTTTCAAAAATGGAACTCTTTTCGCTGACTAAGAAGAGGCTAAGTGTAGAAAATACAATTGACATGTTTTTTCACTTCCCTCTCAGAAGTAATTATCCATTATATTATGATAAGGCATACAATTTGGTTTATAGATTATAAACACAAGGTAATAAGTCCAAATACTTTGCCATGTTGAAAACACGCATTCTCGTCCGATCACCGAAGTTAAGCGCATCGCCGGGCCCGGTCAGTACTTGGGAGGGTGGCCACCTGGGAACACTGGGTGTTGTAAACTTCTCTTTGCCTACGGCCATACCACATAAGACCAAATAAATAAATAGTGTGTGATGTTTAGGTAACAACGCTGTTTCTGAAACGCCACACACTATTTATTTATTTGGATTTGGTCTTATTACCTTGTGTTTATCCATTATATATTATTTTCATAAGATTCTCTTATTCCAAAATGATGGCAAATAGATTTGTACCTCACATATCTCTCTGCCTTTCAACAAAACTATGTAGACTTCTATCTATAAACTAAAACAAATATTTTATTGGGTACCAATGAGATTACTCTATCAGATTGGGAGATAATGTTTGTGTTAGTACAGTAGAACCTCTCTGTAAAGGACACCTAATTGAAGAGCCAAGGTGTCCTTTAGGGAGATGTGTCCTCTTACTGAAGAGTTGCTAAATAATAAAAAAGGTAATTTGCAAATAAACTGTCCTTTATAAAGAGGTGTCCTCTAGCATGAGTGTCCTCACATGGAGGTTCTACTGTATCTGGAAACTTAATACTTGCCATTTAGTATTTACAGTCAAAACCTCTTTAATTCAACACCCCAAAGGATCAGAGATCTCCGTTGAATTAAAGGAAGTGTTGAATTAAAGTTAGTCAGATGATTAGCTAATCTTCTAACTCGTTAAAATAATATTTTTAAAATAGCTAGCTTTGTATAATATATAAATTAATAATATTAATTGAAATCATTGTACTTTTTTTATATCTAGTTTTTTTTAATTTTCATTATTAACTTTCAGTGTCAAGGACAAAATGGCCGTAATACATATCTTTTCGAGAGACTCCTATAAATAATAACAAATAAAATTTTAATCTGATTTGAATAATAGCAGTTGAAAAATAAATAAATATGGAAAATAAAAAGAAAATTAAAAAAAATATATTTAAAAAGAGAATCATGAAGATCCACAAGGTAATAAGACCAAATCCAAATAAATAAATGGACTGTTTTGGTTTATTTATTTGGATTTGGTTTTATTACCTTGTGTTTATAATCTATATTCCAAATTGTGCCTTATCAATCATGAAGATCTTTTAAAGAAGTCCTTTATGGTGTCTGTTTTTGCACTGAAATCTTAATCAGGTTGTATTCCAGCTGATCTATTTTTCAAAAGACATGTCTTTCCTCCTCTGTAATACCTTTTAAATAACAAAAGAGTTTTGAGTGTATCAATGTCTATTTCTTCTATAATTTTTTTTTCCACATAAGCTGGCCATAATGATCATGTTTCTGATCTTTTTTTGGCAGAACCTGACATACTTGACAGCTATAATTTGACCTTTTTTAAAAAATTCCAATCCGCCTATTTACTTTAATTTAACAAACTTTAATATAACTTGACACCACCTTAAGTGTTAACAACAAAATATCCACTAGAGAGGTGAATCTTGTGAATAGACAAATTTGGTGCATAGTATTTGAACCTTTTGGCAGAAGAGGCATCTTTTTTTTTTTCTGTAACATTATCACCTCATCACAAAGTACAATAAAGACCATAGCCATGGCTAAACCTGATATCTCCTGAAGATGGTCATGAGGAGTCTTTAAACCAAAACAGTCTGATAAGAGACCCAGTATCTTCAGGTTTCTCATGGGAGACTGAAGCACCATAAACCAGGTCAGCTGATAAGAGTGTCTACAATGAATAATCTACAGTAAAGTCCCGTTCTTTAAGCTGACCCATCTAGCAGCCAGTGCTGCAATTCTTACCATTTTGGAACTTTTTTTTTCCTTGTTTGGCCAAACTTTATTTTTTATTTTTTGTTAAATTCTCAATTTCCCAATAATTTGAATTTTCTAGGTTGAACTAAACTTTTAAAGTTACAGTAATTTTCTTCCTCACTTTGAAAATACGGTAGAAACTCTCTTTAAAGGACATCTTGTTACAGAAATAAAGTGTCCTTTAGAGAGAGGTGTTCTCTTACCGGAGAGTTGTTAAATAGTAAAAAATAGCTATTTTGTCAATGAAAACTGTCCTTTATGAGAGGTCCTCTAGCAGGAGTGTGCTCTCACAAAGGTTTTACTGTACATATAAAAAGATATATGGGTAGCAGTTAGAGTAGAAGCCATGGATACTCCTGTTCTCCCATTAGAGGTTATATCAGAGCTCACAGAGGTGGTGGTGGTTATATATCACATTCATGGCTCATTGTGTAAGAATGAATAACCTATATAACATTAATAAACACAACTTCCTATTGTGTGTGTCCTTACTATGACGAGAAAAGAAAAATTGGAAGGGCCTGGCTCTTCAGTGTTGAACCCTATCAGCTGTTTCATCAATTTAATCAGATTGCTCTAATATTATATATTGGGCTGTTCTGCCCTATATCTATCCAGCACTTTAAGGGAATTCTTGGTATGTAATATTTTATAGCCAGAAGACAGAAATATACATCCCCCCCCCCCCTCATTAATGTAATAGAGAAGATATTGTATGATAAGGCACAATTTGGATTATAGAATACAAACACAAAACCCCAAGGAGAATCCTCTGTAAGACCTGTGTGTCTTAATAAAGGCTTTTGTGTGTGTGTGTTGACAGAAATATACATTTCCCCTTCATTGATGTAAGAGAAAAGATATTGTTTATGATAAGGCACAATTTGGATTATAGATTAAAAACACAAGGTAATAAGACCACATCCAAATAAATAAATAATGTGTTGGATTTGGTGTCTTATTACCTTATATCAACACTTAATCTTTAAAAGTGTCAGGTCTGTAGAGCTTGCTAATGGTGTCTGCTGGGGATGAGTTGAGCTTATTGATCAATGATGTGGTTAAGGGTTGTACTTGGTAAATAGTGGGAAAACCCTTGTGCATCCACGTTCATATAAGTAAACACAATTTTAGCTACAGAATTGCAGGCTATGCTTGTCTGAGCTTGATAACAATAGCTAGTATATATATTTATTTGCTTTTTGTTCAATCAAATTGTGAGGGTGTGTTGATATAATGAGTATATCCTACATAAACATAAGGTAATAAGACCAAATCCAAATAAATAAATAGTGTGTGACGTTTCGGTAACAGTGTTGTTACCGAAACCTCACACACTATTTATTTATTTGGATTTGGTCTTATTACCTTGTGTTTATAATCTATAATCCAAATTGTGTCTTATCTATATCCTACATAATTTACCCCAATGCAGTATTTGCAGTAAAAAAATACAGGAATATAGGATTAACTAACTGTATTGACTCAGTCTTATATTTTCTTATTTTTTTAGATGAAAATATTTTTTAAAATTAAAAGCTCTCTCTATCTCGCAATAGAGTTAGAGAAAAGAATGTGTGTAAATGACCGCACGTACATTTTACAAGACACATTACAAATATTAGCGCGTCATCTGTTATCAAAATTCGAAACTTATTATAGACACGTATGATTCTTTTTAAAAATAAACAATTTCTACTGCCCATACTTCAATGGAAAAATTAATTCCATTGCAGAAAGGACAGTAGAAATTGGTTATTTTTAAAAAGAATCCTATGTGTCTATAATAAGTTTCGAATTTCCACAATGTTTGCAGTTACAAATTCATAAAACCTGTCCATATAGGGTTAAAGTGTTGATTAAGAGAAGTCTTTCTAGTTAGCTTATCAAACATGTTTGCATCTTTATTTTTAAATTAGCTGACTAAATAGAAATGAAAGGAACTCCCATCTTAGAGTTATTTATCTCCCTATGGAAGATATGTAGGATATATGAGAGATAAAAATGGGAATGTTGATAACAATGTAGGAAAAAAGTTACTGAAAGGGTTTTAAAGAAATTTTAGAAATATATTGGGAGTTTTTTTTTGTCTTGCCCTTCCTCAATCTAGTTAGAGGGAACAAGCTCCTAATAAATAATAGTATAAATGAAATAAAAAAGAAAGTTATGATAGGTTTCTTTATATAATTCTTATCAACCTGGTAAATCCCAAATTGCAATATATTTTGCAATAGGGAATGCCCAACACCAGTTTGACACTATCTTATTCCAAATGGCAATCGCCCCATACTAACGTTGGAAAGAGCAAAATAAATCTTGTTAGCTCTTTTAAAGACTTTATTATGTGGGAGTGTCAGAAGTGGCTGAACAAATGGTAAAGTCCCACTGTAGGAGTCATCAAACACTTGTTAGATCAAGGCTGCAACATGAAAGTCTTGTGTAAAATATATCTATGGGAGCACCAATGTTAGGATTACGATGCCATTTTAATCAAACCACCCCATAGTATTCAAATAAAAAGCAACGAAAAATCTAACCTCCAATAAGAGACCACCTTCAGGTGAGACCAGAAATATCCATGCTTTTTTTTTTTTATTTCTCATGGAAGATCCTACTAAAAATAAATAGGGAGTGATGGTCTAAACTTTTCTACACTGTGAACAATTACGTAAGTGTTGAAGCTATTTATAGAATAATATCTTACCTCAATGACTTCCTTCCTTCCCTACCTCAATATTTGCACAGGTTGGTGAATGTAAGTGTAGCTCTGTCACTGGTATTGCTGGATGTTAGTGAGCATGTTCCAGTTTATGTAGGTGAGTGGGCTCATAGTAGACACCTCCTCTGTACCATCTAAACCCATTGCCTGCAGAAATGGAAATCTAATGCTGCACATGACTGGTACAGAGCAGGAGGAACAAGCACCGGTTCTGTCCTTCCAAAAGAACAACAGTCTTTGATTTCCAGACTTAAGTCTGGTCATCTACAGACAATGACTTTCCAGAATGGTTGCAAGGTTTTCCCACTATGTACCAAGTGTAATTCTCAACCTGCAACCCCAAAACACATTATTGACTGTATTGACTCATCCATTGATGAGCTCTACTCTTCCCCGGCAGACACCATCAATATTCTCAAGCTTTACAAGCTTGATACCTTAATATGATTGAGTGGAGATAAGAAAGAAGAGGCAGCAGTGGGTCTGATACCAGTAGGTATAGAGGGAAGAATGATCAAACAAGGTGATGACAATGAAGCCTGAGCCCAA